TTTCATAAAAATCTTCTTTTGTAGCAGATCTCTCTATGAAAGAAACATGGCTGCCAAATTTTAAGTCTGTAGATGAAATAGTTCAGAACGGGAATATTTACCTATAACAGCACTTAATCCCTCGCAACGGCCCATGGGGGTCGATTTTGTAAACCCATTTTCATAAATCTCTACCCATGCATGAAATCTGCTTGTTAAAAGACATCAAAAAGAGACGTTATTTTAACATCGTGCGTGGATTGATCATCTCCTTTAGGATTCGGGCAAAAGCTCTAATTTCATCGTTTCCTTGCGACATATACACACCGAAGCTTGACAGTCATGTCACCATGGCAACTCGCCATCCAACCCCTTAAACACTTTAAATCTCCTCCCTGCCACGACTAGGTCCTTGCGGTTCCTTCCGTTTATCATACAACCCCATTCATTCTAACGAAATCTTTCACAGCCCTGTTAACCCGGATGACTTCTTAAATCCTTTTCCCTTAGTTCGTTAATTTGGTTTTCCCAACTTATTAAAAAATCTGCTTTCAAATCGTTCTCCCTTTGTGTTTAACACAGATAGCCAATTGTCAAAAGAAAAAAATATTGTAAAAAAAATTGAGGCTCTGAATAATATATATATTCTATGCAATTAACCTGTAAAATAATTAAGGATAGAGGCATCATTTTTTGAAGCCAAAGTAACGGAACATCGATTATATGTCTTTTTATTTTTGTTACATCTTTTTGGAAGCATAAGAAACCCGAATTGGATCAAGTAAAAAAATTATTTTTTGTCACTTGCCCAATATTTCTCTGAATAAGATCAAAATTTACAAGTGAACCGGATATAAAAAAGATAGACATAAAGATAAATAAAAAAAGCATAAAAATATTAGATATCTATACAATTTAAATACGGTTTTTTTTTTAAATATATAAAGCAGTGCTTCTCAAACTTTCAATATTTGTGACCCAATATTCAATCATATAATTTTCATCGCGTCCTCCCCCCCTCCATACAATAACAGTGAATTGAATTCTATAATGCTATACTTTGAAGTTAAACCTACAACACGACTTTAACATCTTAAATGCCGCCGACGTATATAAACGTCACACTCAACCAGTGGTGTGATTGCCCCGGACGTATGTATACGTCTTTCCGAAGTACGATCTTTTCTATGAACTGCTTCTAGTAAAATTATTTCGAAGACTTTGGAATGCAATAAAATCATCTTGACAGTGTTTGCCGAAGGATTGAATTAATTCAGAGGATTTGTTTATTTATTCTTTTTTTACCTCCCCTTCTCAATAACACAACATAAAACCCGCCTACGTGTTAAACGATAGCATTGGGAAGATCACGTAATTTTTAATCGGCAGTTAAGGTATTAATTGTAAACCGTTCAAATTATATCAAGAAAAGCATTCATTTTTGCATGTAATTTTATATATGAGAAGCCCATGGGATCACTGGTAATTAATAAAGTTGTACTTAACTTAGTATTGTTAAATTAATTATAAAATACATTGCGCACTTTTCTGATATATTCATAAGTGTATTATATCAGCGTAAATGGGTGCTTTATTTTTTATTATGTTGGAATGCATTTTGTTTGTTTACTTTCAGTAAGTTAAAATTTTTTTTAAAATAATCTTTTGTTTTCAAATTTTCAATTGGCTTGCGCACCCCTCATAGGGTTATCACGCCCCCTTAGAGGGCGTGCGCCCCACAGTTTGAGAAACGGTGACCTAGAAGCTTTCGGAAACAATATTTTATAAACAATTTTACACTGTTGAGGATTATCTTTCAAGGAAATCGATATTCGTGTTGGACGAAACCACACAACTGTAATGCGGATATGTGACCGTTGGATGCAGGAGGGTATGACGGACCGACGTGGTCGATCGCATCCACCTCAGTGTACCACTTCACGTGAGAACAGGCAAATTGTGCGCATGACAGTGACGAATCGCTCAGTCACATCACGAACCATAGCACAGCACATTGAGTCTGTAACGCATCATTCAGTGTCTGCAAGTGCCATTCGATGCCGTTTACAGCAGAGTGATCTGTCCGAAAGACGTCCATTGCTTGGTCTACCCTTGACGCAGAACCACAGACGTCTCCACCACAAATGGTGCAATGAAAGAAGGATGTGTGGGTGGGCAGAATGGACTGAAGTTGTCTTTACTGAAAAGTCACGCATATGTCTGCAACACCACGATGGTCGGTTTCCGAGTCTGGAGACACCGTGGGGAGAGAATGCTGAACAGTTTCGTATGCACCACCACACCGGTCCTGCACCGGATATGGTACGGGGTGGTATTGGATCTCACTCTCGCACTTCTCTAGTACGCATTACCGGTACTTTAAACAGCCAGCGCTACATCTCCAAGGTGTTGGAAGCAGTTGTCCTTCCTTATCTTCAGGGCTTGGCCACAGCCATATTTCAACAGGATAATTCGCGACCACACGTTGCACACATTGTCCAACGGTTCTTCGTCAATCACCAGATTGAGTTGCTTCCTTGACCGGCTCGCTCTCCGGATCTTTCGCCGATAGAAAACATGTGGTCCATGGTTGCTCAACGATTGACCTAGATTACACCCCCAGCTGTCACACCAGATCAACTTTGGCAACGTGTGGACGCTGCTTGATCTGCTGTCCAAAGTCTCTTTGAATCAATGCCGAGGCGTGTGGCAGCGGTGATCTCCAACAATGGCGGCTCGTCTGGCTACCGATTCTGGCAGGAACCACACTTCACAGAAGTCTATAAATTTAATAATTTGATACTTGGTCAAAACATGTTATCTACAAAATAAATTTTGTTGTCATCTCTTTTCTTTTTTTGGTACAGTATTACAGTTTAGCAATCAGTATGAACAGTTGTGTAATTTATACAATGGGATTGTGGACAGGGCTTACCTCCTTTTACTTTCTAAAAATATTTCTGATAATTTCTTCAGAAAATTTTTTTAAAACCCCCCTGACAAAAAAGGCCCAAATTTCGCATTGGTTTTAAGATTGCAGGTAATCTTCCAAACGAGTCGAATTTCATACATTCAGTGATACTCCTTGAACGACCTGCACGTGGCTTGTTTTTGACTAAATTTGTCATTTTATTTTTTAAAATATCGATAAGAGCTGTAGGTTTATTTACTTACATTTAATATTTCCCTGGCATTTTTACCATGATTCTAATGAATCGGTTTTCTAATGTGAACTATGTATTAACAATCATGCCAAGCATGTAATATTGATTTTTGTAAAGGCTTTTTTTATTTTTTGTAATTTATTCCACGGGGTGAAAATCGCAACTTTTTTTAGTGATATCAAACATACAGCAACTTTTTTGCTCTTTACCTTTTGTCTAATAAAAAGGCTTTACAAATAAGTCACATTTGTTTTGCTTCTGACTCTTTCTTTGCCTGAACTTACATTATCCTTATTTTATGGACATGAGTGTGTTTCCTAAACACTGTTGACAAATTAACTTAGTAAAAGTTAAAAAATGTAATTTTAAGTTTTTTAAACAATAGTATTTTTTAGTTTCCCCTACTTTTCTTAGAAACTAAACATTTTTTTAGGTAAGTGTTCAGCAAAATTTTTTTTTTGGAGAGTAGAACCAAGTTGTATAAAAGAAAAGATAACTAATGCAAAAAGAGCTTTTTTATGCAAAAGAATATGCATGCGCAGGGATCAAGGGGGCCCCCGAGAAGTTTGGGTTAAGAGGGCTTTAACCAATTTGCATTTTGTTTTTTTAGTTAAAGAAAGTCTTTTTCAATTTCCCTATTCACTCATAATCTCTATATATATTTTATTTTTTTGTTTTTTTATTTTTAATTTTCGTTGGAATTTCAATCGAATGAAAATTTTGCCCAATTGGGGTTTTAAAATTCCATTTTTAGGGTAAATTTTTCTTATAATTAAAAAATTAATTTATTAAAAATAATTATTTAAAGAATTAAAAAACACCACTTGGCATCTTTTTTGACTTGTTTCAAAAAATTGAAAAGTTTTTTCTCAAAAAAATTCAGTTATGAAATTAAAAAGGACAATACGATACTTTAATGATAAAAAAAAAAAAAATTACCACTTAATGTTATGATTCTTTTTGTCCTATATATATAAATATTTATACTAATTGTAACTATTTAATAAAAAGTAGCTAAAATAATATTTTTCTTTGTTAATCTAAGGAGGAATTGACTTAAAAAATTTCTTTTTATATTACTTGTTTTATACACAAAGTAACATTTTCTCCATTCTTGCTAAAACTAAAAACTTTCGAATTTTATTTTCTATGGGTCACAATGCAACCACTGACTAAATATCATAATGTTAAAATAAAGATTCCAAGCGTTATACGAAAAAATGTTCCAACGAGGCATGCGAGGAATGTTAAAGTCATGTCATCCCTCTTTTTATTAACCGTAAGCATGGCACAAAATAGGAATATCACTCTCTGTTGTGGGTTTATTTGCATATCTTGCTCATACTCAAGCGTGTTTCCTAACTCATGTGGGTAAATAAGCAAATTTTTCTGGAAATTACTGGTGGCATTTCTACCAATAAATCAGATATTTACTGCTTTAAAGCAATTGTACATTTTTTTGAAGTTATACTTCTTATGGGGAGTTAGAGAAATAGAATGAGGGTAAATTTTTACAATGCACGCGCACCCCGTCACGGATGTGACACACACCGTCATGGATGCGGAAATCCTTTGTCTAGAAATATACAGAACGGGACAAATCATTCCCGCCTTCGAAATTCTCAGAAAAATATTTCTTTCACCTCCCTGAAGAATTGGACACCCGGGTTTGAACCGTAGACCTCTCGAACTGCAGCCGAATGCTCTATCACTGAGCTATACACCCGCATCAGCGAACCTTTGCTTTGTGTTCCGTAGGAACGTATACGAAAAGGCTTTTTCTAGAAATATACAGAACGAGACAGATCATTGCCGCCTTCAAAATTCTCAAAAAAAATTACTTCTCTTCCCTGAAAATAGGGGCACCCGGATTTGAACCGGTGAGAGACCTCTCGATCTGCAGTCGAATGCTCTACCACTGAGCTATACACCCTGTGTCAGAAAGGCTTTGCTTTGTGTTCCGTAGGAACGAATACGAAAATGTTTTTGATTAGAAATATGCAGAATGGGACAGATCATTCCCGCCTCGAATTTCCCCAAAAATACTTCGCTTCACTTCCTGAAGATGGGAGCATCCGGGTTGGAACCGGGGACCTCTCGATCTGCAGTCGAATGCTCTACCAATGAGCTATACACCCCGTGTCAGAAAGCCTTTGCTTTGCGTTCCGTAGGAATGGATATGAAAATGCTTTGATTAGAAATATGCAAAATGGGACAGATCATCCCCTCAATTTTCCCAAAAATACTTCTTTTCACTTCCCTGAAGAAGGCAGCATCCGGGTTTGAACCTGGGACCTCTCGATCTGCATTCGAGATAGAGCAATATACCCCCGCTATACCCTCGCTAATGAGCTATACTCCCGCGTCAGTGAACCTTTGCCTTGCGTTCCATAGGAACGGATACGAAAATGCTTTGTCTAGAAATATGCAGAACGGGATAGATCATTCCCGCCTTCGACCCCTCCCCATATTATTGGTCCTGTGCGGGGGTGTTTAAATTTATTTAAATCGTGATTATCTCAGGTTTGGGGCTGGTCCGATTGACTGAAGGTAAGTATCGTTCAACTCTGCTCGTGACCACCTTTCGTCCTTGGCCCAGCTTGCCCTGCTAAAGATTTTTAGAAAGATTTTAATCTTGTTACGCCAAAGAAGTATAACTTCTTATGTGCGTACATAAGTACACACACACTTTTTTTATTTTCACTCATTCTCAAAACATTTTATCAATGAAGAACAATTCAATGTATAAATGATAAGCTAGTTAAATGCTTTTTAAGACTCAAACAAACAAAATCTTATTAATGGAGAAAATGAAAAGAAGACAATTTTAGTAGATATAATTGTTTTTTTAATAACTCATATAGTTAGAAGTCTGAAGAGCTGCAACCATCCATTCAAAGAGCCGCATGAAGCTAGGGAACAGCGGTTTGCCGACCTCTGATTTAAGCGAATGCTAAAATAATCTAGAATATACATTGCTTTATACCCGCTCAGGACCATGATCACACATATAATCACTTCAGGAACACAGTATCACAGGTGAAACTTCATTTTTCCCATTCAGAGGCCCTTGATCACACCGGTGTGATCTTAATTTGGAACGTATGGAATTTAGAACGATTATAAACAATAAATTTTGCTGTATTCATTATAATAATGATTTTATTCTAATTTTTAAATGAAGCTAAGCTTAAGGGGAGTTGGAAACATCTCTCTATATATATTATACTGACAATGCTAAATTGGCTGTTTTCGATGTACCTTTTCTCAAAATCTGTTATATGTACATGCTTGAAATTTTTCATACAATTAAAGTACACCTCTCTAATTATACTGAAATGAACTTTTATAGCCAATTTTGAATTTTTTAATAAATTATGAAATATTTTATCAAACATTGCAAAATTTGACCCATTTTTCATTTAAAAATTTTTTAAAAAAAAATAAAGTTTTAAGTTTCTTACAAAAGGCTCATTTCAGTATATATTAGATATCATTATAAATATTTCATAAAAAATTTACATACCTGTGAACAGTAGTTTCTTAGAAAAGGTGCATCGCACATTAAGATTTACATTTTGAGATAAATTGATTTTAATGTATACAGTGAGACTTCTAATTGGCTAGGAAATAAAAAAATAAAAAGGCTCAGTTTAAAATAAAAAATGCATGTTTTGGTTTATATCAGACGTTACACTTTTAAGCAAAAACGAAGTACTTTGTTTACATTTTTCTCCATTAAAATGGGTGTGGTTCAATTTCAACAATTATTTAAAAATAGGTTTTTTAAGGGCTTCTAAATACCCTAGAGGTTGAAGTAAGGTATTTTTTTGAAAGGTTAAAATCTGTACAATTTGAAAATGTAGAAATCTCAAATTGTCAAAAAAATAATATTTTAGCTTTCCAACACCACTTAATAGGAAAATTGCCTGGTCCTCAGCGGGTTAAAATCATACGAAGAAAAAGTAACTGGAAATGACAGCTTACTACGGCTGTTTACTTACCACCTGGACTCGAGGAAGTTATATAAAAACGAAACTACACAATTGAATTAGATTTGAATATAAATTAAAATATGCATGTACATTTGAAATATGTTTTAAAGTTATTTGTAATATACTTATTAACGTTGGGAATTATTCTCTTTTTCATAGCCCCCCAGCCTCCAATTATCGTCAGCTTCGATTTAATAATTTATATAACTCTAATTTTTCTTAATGTTCATTTTATTTACTTATATTTATTCGTTTGAAATTATAAATTTTGTTGCAAAAGTTGGCAACTTTTTTGCCATGAGTCTCGATGTGAGAATTCTTCAGCAAACGGTTAGAATTCGAACTCATATGTGTTTTGACACGTAATAGAAAATGCTGTTGATTTTACCAATTTATTTCATTTATTTTTTTAATGTTACTTATGAGAACAAGTTCTGGTTTGTTACGTCCTAGTTTTAATTAAAAAAGTTTATTCTGTTTCGAAATGATTATTTGCACCATATTTCGAACACTAAACCACCGAAACAAGAAGGAAAAATCGGTTATATATATATAGTAAAAAATTTTAACACAGTAAGTATCAAGGTTCCTTCTACCATTTATAGCGAGTGATTAAAATATCAACAATGCTCTTTTTATAATTTTGTGCAAAAACTATTCAAAACAATGAGTAAATAGTTTGTGCTTTACTATGCAAAAACATGCATTTTTTTAAATAATTGAATGTTGTTGTTGTCGTGTATGACAAAGTGCAGAGGTTGTAATAATAAAACATAAGGATATAGTCAGATATGCACTTCTCATAATTGAGGGTTGCCAGAGCCTTCAGAGGTTGGTCTTCTGGTCATTTTAGTCACCTTTGCGACACGCATGAGCTTACGTTGGGACTATTCTACTCCGGTCACCACACGGAAGACTATAATGATATCTTTATAATACCTGATACTGACGATGAGTTAATTTTGGTGAGATTGTATTTGGTGTTTTAGGCGAAGATTGTCCGAAGAATCTGTTAGGCGTAACATATGACGCCTCCAATTAGACTTAATGCAGCTGCATTC